CTGTGCTAACCTACGCAGGGGCGTAGCAAGGGAGGTGTTCGCCTGTCGGTGACAAAATGCCAGGAATGCATGTTTTTTAACACAGATAAAAATATGTTTGTGTACGTGTGTGTGTGTGTAAAAAAAAGGCGGGGGGGGGGGAATAAAGAAATGTTTTGCACCGGAAAGTGCCGGGCATCACCTGATCTTACAACACCGCTGGGGGGGGGGGAGTGGGGGGTGGTGCAGATTGTCCGTACCGGATATCAGCTGACCATGCTACGCCACTATACCGTTATACTAACAGTTTCTACCCTTGCCTCTCAACCCCACCCCCCGCCCCCATCAAGCGCATTAGCCGTTAACCAACTGTCACCAAGTCGTTAGTAGACTTGTTCAATGTTGACTGATTTTTCAATAGTTTTCTAAGAGTATTTCACCACTTACGACATGCATGGTTTGTTATTATATTTCTACTGTTTGCTTGTTGTACGGGCCTTGGTTTGGAGGTTAACGTAATCCTAGATGTCCAGCTGGGTATGCCTGCAGCGGACGGTTTAGAAAACGGCTGCTCTCGTTGCTTTCCGACCGTGGTGTATCATCTTCTTCCCCCTCTCGTTGCTTTCCAACCGCGGTATATCATCTTCTTCCTCCTCCTCTCGTTGCTTTCCGACCGTGGTATATCATCTTCTTCCTCCTCCTCTCGTTGCTTTCCGACCGTGGTATATCATCTTCTTCCTCCTCCTCTCGTTGCTTTCCGACCTTGGTGTATCATCTTCTTCCTCCTCCTCTCGTTGCTTTCCGACCGTGGTATATCATCTTCTTCCTCCTCTCGTTGCTTTCCGACCGTGAATAAACTCCGATGGAATTTTATGGGTGTTCGTCCACCTATGGACATTAGCCTCGTTCTAGAACCTGTGTTGCGTGAACGTTTTTTTTAATATGTCTGACTTATTTGTGTGCAGAATATTGGTTCCTTGCCTCTCAGGCAGATGCCCTCAGATTTCGAATGAAGCTCTTAATCAGTCGATTCTTACAAGCTTGTTGGAGAGGCAGTGGGTCTATTCGTGTTCTCCCCCACAATCCGACCCTGGAACCCACGCGTAGCGCAGTGGTAGGCGAATGTCACTGTGGAAGAGACTGGCGCCTCGCCATGTAAATCCCCAAAGTTAGCAATGAATAGGTCTTCATCTCTGTATTTGTTACGTTTGTGGTCACAGACGGCTGAACTCTCCAACAGAGGCAGAAAGTGCAGGACGGGCGAACAGACAGGCGGTTGGATGGACCAAAAGACAGACGAGCAAAGACAGTTGGATGGATGGATCAACAGACAGACGCGGCACAGTCGACTGGATGGACCAACAGACAGACGCAAGAACACAAAACAATATTCGAATGGATTGACCAACACACACATTCGAATGGATGGACCAACACACAGACGCGGGACGGAAGAACAGTCAAATGGATCAAAATACAGATATAAGCAGTACGGACGAACACACAAGACAGGTAGAGAGACAGAAGTACCTAACGTGCCCCTAACACTGACTTCTGTGCAACTGCGTTGGTGATGAAATGGGAGGGAAAGTTGGAACCGGAAATGTGAAATGAACAACTATGACGACATCAAAATAACCTTCACATTCAATCGTTCTCTTTGTCTTCATACATGATTAGAGCTGAGCAGGGGTGCCGCAACATTAGGGGCCTCTCAAGCTACCCCCCCCCCCCCCCCCCCCCGTAACGATGATTTAATGATTCCCCCTAAACATTTATAGCTGTTCTAAATATCTGTGTATCCATTTCATATCATGTCCTCTCTGTGTGCATTTCAAGGCCCGAGGGGGGGGGGCTACTGCCCTCATATAAACACACCACTAAATGCTCCTAATGAAGGACTTGCTGTACAGATGTCGCAGCTCAGCGAATAAACCACAATCAAGCATGCCAATCACCCTGTTGTGGGTGAAAGAAGAATATTATACCAAAGATTTTTGTATGACATTCAGCAATTATATAACAGAGGGTGTTTGAAGAAGTCAGCAGGAATTACTCATAAACAAGTCACTTTCAAAATAGATGACTCAGGAGAATACAGCTTATATTTATATAAAGACCAAATGTTGGACAATCTTGCAGTCACATGGAGGATGGGCTCAAGATAATGACAAAATGTTGGACAATCTTGCAGTCACATGGAGGATGGGCTCAAGATAATGACAAAATGTTGGACAATCTTGCAGTCACATGGAGGATGGGCTCAAGATAATGACAAAATGTTGGACAATCTTGCAGTCACATGGAGGATAGGCTCAAGATAATGACAAAATGTTGGACAATCTTGCAGTCACATGGAGGATGGGCTCAAGATAATGACAAAATGTTGGACAATCTTGCAGTCACACGGAGGATGGGCTCAAGACAATGACAAAATGTTGGACAATCTAGCAGTCACATGGAGGATGGGCTCAAGATAATGACAAAATGTTGGACAATCTTGCAGTCACATGGAGGATGGGCTCAAGATAATGACAAAATGTTGGACAATCTTGCAGTCACATGGAGGATGGGCTCAAGATAATGACAAAATGTTGGACAATCTTGCAGTCACATGGAGGATGGGCTCAATGACAAAATGTACAATCGTGCAGTCACATGGAGGATGGGCTCAAGATAATGACAAAATGTTGGACAATCTTGCAGTCACATGGAGGATGGGCTCAAGATAATGACAAAATGTTGGACAATCTTGCAGTCACATGGAGGATGGGCTCAAGATAATGACAAAATGTTGTACAATCTAGCAGTCACATGGAGGATGGGCTCAAGATAATGACAAAATGTTGGACAATCTAGCAGTTACATGGAGGATGGGCTCAAGATAATGACAAAATGTTGGACAATCTTGCAGTCACATGGAGGATGGGCTTAAGACAATGACAAAATGTTGGACAATCTTGCAGTCACATGGAGGATGGGCTCAATTACAAAATGTTGTACAATCTTGCAGTCACATGGAGGATGGGCTCAATGACAAAATGTTGTACAATCTTGCAGTCACATGGAGGATGGGCTCAAGATAATGACAAAATGTTGGACAATCTTGCAGTCACATGGAGGATGGGCTCAAGATAATGACAAAATGTTGGACAATCTTGCAGTCACATGGAGGATGGGCTCAATGACAAAATGTTGTACAATCTTGCAGTCACAAGGAGGATGGGCTCAAGATAATGACAAAATGTTGGACAATCTTGCAGTCACATGGAGGATGGGCTCAAGATAATGTCAAAATGTTGGACAATCTTGCAGTCACATGGAGGATGGGCTCAAGATAATGACAAAATGTTGGACAATCTTGCAGTTACATGGAGGATGGGCTCAAGATAATGACAAAATGTTGGACAATCTAGCAGTTACATGGAAGATGGGCTCAAGATAATGACAAAATGTTGGACAATCTTGCAGTCACATGGAGGATGGGCTTAAGACAATGACAAAATGTACAATCTTGCAGTCACATGGAGGATGGGCTCAAGACAATGACAAAATGTTGGACAATCTTGCAGTCACATGGAGGATGGGCTCAAGATAATGACAAAATGTTGGACAATCTTGCAGTCACATGGAGGATGGGCTCAAGATAATGACAAAATGTTGGACAATCTTGCAGTCACATGGAGGATGGGCAGGTTTAGTGTCTTTAGTCATGGCCGGTTGATCGTTGCATTTTCCTCCATACGTAGACTGAAAGGATATAGTTTTGCCATCCAGCTACTGAGTTTGGTATGTTTGTCGACTGTCACCAGCGCGGGTTGGGTGGTGAGCTGTAGTTTCAGAAAATAGCGAGTAGCCTGTTGCCACTGAGTTGGTGGTGCTGTATGCGTTCAACTGCTTGTGGCACTACTGATTTATTGTAACCGAATTATTTCTAGTGTTGGACTATTTTTGTTAGCGAAGCACTTCTGCCTTATACTTTTTAATAGTGAGTGTATGCTATTGGATGTCCTGATACTGCAGTATGTGACAATGTTTCCACAAGGAACAGTGGTGGACAGACTCTGTGAGGTTTTTGTCGGCATAGGAACAGAGAAACTATGGGATGATCTATTTGCTATGAGGTTGAAACTGCAATTACCTGATCTGGCCACAAATATTTAGCTGTGGTTCTAGTAACTGTACAATTATATTTTCATCAACGTCTGCTACCTTCACTAAACAAGTCATTTATAGCCTGCTATGTACTTATGCCAAATCTGAAGTCAGTACTCCAGTCAGTAATGCTATAAACTATTATGCTTCTGCACGGCCATGTTCTTTTCTAGAAGCACAGGCTCTTTAATCTGCTACATGACCCAAGACTATCAAAATATTGGTCGCTAAATAAACTGAGTCTACATTAGCCTGCACTGCAGTATCAGGAAGATTACCTGGCCATCTCATCAGAGACCCTCTCCCCCAGTGGGTGCATCTACACAAGCATCTACCCACACACAAATGAGAATGTCCCAAGAATTATTATTTTTCCATTTTTTATTTATAATCGCACCACAAAGGCCTAGCACACTGAATTCAAACAAATTGTAACAGATCATGTCTGCCACAAGGAGACAAAACAGACTTACAAAATGTAAAATATAAGACAACTGATAAATGTAAAAAGGAAAAATGAAAAACATATGAATAAACATGATGAAATAATCATAAGTGCTATTATATGCAAAACAAAAGGAAAAGGACAAAATTAATACAGACTTTAATGAGCTCATAAAGTTCACATTCAAACTCTGAACCTCACAACAACACGATCACTACCACCCAACATTCAACCCAAAGTAACAATAATATGATCACTACCAAATTAAGGCTAACATTGTAACCACAGCTATCAAATCCAGATGTTATCACCCAGACTGAACACTGTCTATACGACAGCATCATCTGCACAAAAGAGGTCCCAATACTCTGTACTGTTCAGTTGCTTGCATGACAAGATTCTGGTGAAAAGTTGTCTGTGTTCAATCTCTACGTAGAGGAAACCGCTCATTCTTAATACCATCCTTGGTGATGATGGAGATCTGCACGCTGTCTCCGGTGTAAATGTCTCGCTCGGCTGCCGAGGTGAACACGTCCTTCACCAGAGTCACACATCTTTCTAAGGGCAAAGGCTGGGCAACGTAACCTTGTTGATTCTTGCCACCAATCTGGAGGCAGACAAGTGTACATGAGCAGACAAGTGTACATAAGCAGACAAGTGTACATGAGCAGACAAGTGTACATGAGCAGACAAGTGTACATGAGCAGACAAGTGTACATGAGCAGACAAGTGTACATAAGCAGACAAGTGTACATGAGCAGACAACAAGTACATGAGCAGACAAGTGTACATGAGCAGACAAGTGTACATGAGCAGACAAGTGTACATGAGCAGACAAGTGTACATGAGCAGACAAGTGTACATGAGCAGACAAGTGTACATGAGCAGACAAGTGTACATGAGCAGACAAGTGTACATGAGCAGACAAGTGTACATGAGCAGACAAGTGTACATGAGCAGACAACTCTAAACAAACTTATAGTGTAACTAATGAATAATCTTTCATAACAGACACAAATTTGATCCCCCACGCCCTATAGCCTTATCAGCCGTGGAGACCAGATTGGTTTTTTTTACTGAACCTAGCTGGATGACTTTAAACCAACTGAACCTAGCTGGATGACTTTAAACCAACGGAACCTAGCTGGATGACTTTAAACCAACTGAACCTAGCTGGATGACTTTAAACCAACTGAACCTAGCTGGATGACTTTAAACCAACTGAACCTAGCTGGATGACTTTAAACCAACTGAACCTTGTTGGATGACTTTAAAGCAACTGAACCTTGTTGGATGACTTTAAACCAACTGAACCTTGCTGGATGATCTGCTCATTCAATGCCAAACTTTGCTTTTAAAAAAATGCACAACACTTCTGCTCACTACAAACTGCCAGGATGTGGCAACATTTTACTCCACGTTTGTGATGCTGAGAGAAAACAAACAAGGGAAAGAAGTGGGTTAACAAAACACAGCAAAATCCTTGTTAACATGAACCAGTTTAAGAACACCGGTTAACATGAACCAGTTTAAGAACATCGGCTAACACGAAGAAGACTGCTGTCAAGGCAGGGATGTATCATTACTGGTCAAATTGAGCAGACATTTGTAGATAGGAAACTAAATCTGTTGGTCCCTTGGAACAATTGTGCATGAGGTTTTTGCTGTAGCTGTTTTAGTATCAAATCTGTTTCTCTTACCTGGTTGTCCAACAGGGGCTGCAGCATGGACGATGCTGAGCCCTTGGCCCTGAAGACCTCCCTCTCGTAGGATCCTACAGGATCAAAGCTGTACACACAGCCTTTCCCTACATAAATACATAAACAATCAGTTAGGTTATCACACAGCCTTTCCCTACAGAATTACATAACAAATCAGTTTTCATAAAGAACCAAAAAATTATGTAAATCACAGATAAAAGATTCAATATGCAAGTTCCAGCAATCAGGTAATTGTAGCTGCAACTTGACAGCAAGCAGGTCACCCAGTAGCTGCTGCACCCTACTGCCATCCCTTGTACACTGCTAGCTGTTTTCTGATAAAACTCCCACATGCAAGACAACACAGATCAAGGTCTCTACTTACTCTTCTTTTTCCTCACTTTATCTCCCCACCCCACACCCACTAAAGCATTGAACTTCAAACTGTCCATCTTTTGCCATCTGCAGCTCACTATGTGTCCCTTTCGTACTGTTTAACATTATCTCTAGTTTTCTTCTTTCTAGTTCTTTCTTCTCTTGTTTTTTGATCTTCCTCTTTATCTTGTGTCCTGTGTCATGACATTCTAATAATATTAGTACTACATGATCTACTGCAGCCCAACAATAAAGCAAAGAATATAATCAACACCCCCCCCCCCCCCCCCACGGGTGCAAGAGTAGTAACACATTTAAAACCTGCCATACATGTCATAGGATGAAACAAAGTAAGGCTGTCATGACTAATCCCTTCAAAAACTGAAACTGCCAAATGCAGTACACTTCGAACAAGTTCTGACATAGTAAGACTCCGCATCAGCTGGTTCAGAATCTTTGCTTCACTGCAAGTTGAAAGTCGTAAGGAGAAGAACTATGAGGTTTATATCTAAAACAACAGTTTGGCATTGTAGGAAGCTAACAGGATTGGCTTAGCTGCACTACATCTGTATCCCAATGGGCTCATTCTCTCACCAGAACAGGACACATATATATCCATATTTCAAGTTAAAAACCCCAGGAACTGTCCCAAAAATGACACACATGAAGCAAGCATTGTCATAAAAACACGAACCTACAGCTGTCAGAACATGAAGCAAAGGGTTCAAGTCCAAAACAGGGATTCCTTGAAATTTAAGAAAACAAAATACAATGGTTACATCAAGGAAGATGTGATTCCACATCAAGTGACTGTGTTGTAACATTATGAGATGTCTAGACTAGTTCCTGTCTACAACACTCTTCAACAGAAATCTATGGCACCTAGGACTTGGAGGGATGGGGATGCTCAGGATCCAGCAGATGTTCCAACCCCCTTCTCCAGTTGAAGACTGAATCCACAACACCGTACAACCCTCAATATAATAATAATCAACAACAACGTGTTTTTATTGTCTTTAGAATGATTTTCAACAGAGAACAACAGAAGCCATACCGTCATCATCCAGTCCTGCAACCAGGTTGTGGGTGTAGTAAGGAAAGAAGCGGCGATAGTAGAGAATAGTGGACAACATGGCAGCTACAGAAGACGTCGGCATCTGTTTGTTGTGATCCTTCTCAAAAATCTGTGAACACACATTTGCTTTAAAGTTAACATAATGTTCAACCTCTTTGGACTATAAAATGTATACTGTTGTTTCAGGAAAGAGGTTCTATAAATAAATTAATAAAAATAACACAATGGAAAAAAGCTGCAAAGTACCCACTAGTCTTGTCCTGTCCACAATTGCCTCACAGCGTAGTGGGGAGTCGCAGTTTTCTATCCTCGGCCAGGTGTGTTGCACGTGTTGTTGTTAGTCCGTGTTGCCTCAGGATCTCTGATATATTGTCTATCCATCGTACTCTGTCTGCCTCTTGCTCTAGGGCAGTAGTGCTGTTCGTTGTATGCTCGTAGAGGCAGTTGGTCGGTTTGCATTCGCATCAAGTGGCCAAACCACTCTGTTGCTTCTTTATGTATTGCAGGCATGGTGTGGTTCCTACAATTGATCTAATGTTCTCGTTTCGAACTCTGTCTCTCCTTGTGACATTGGCAGCCTTACGTAAGCATCTCATTTCGCACGTCATGATCTTTTTCTCCTGTGCTCTTGTTAGGGACCAGGTTTGGCATTGGTAGCAGAGGGTTGGTATAAACATGCAATTTATCAGTTGTCGTTTTAGTGCCATGGTGATGCTTGGGTGTTTTAGCAGTGGGCAGAGTTGGTAAGTTACTGCGTTCGCCTTTTGACATCTTGCCTCAAGTTCCCTATCAATTCTTCCATCATCTGTGAAGATGCTCCCCAAGTATTTAAATTGCTGCACTTGTTTGAATTGTTCATTGTTAACTTGAATAGTTAGTATATTAGGTGTTCTACTTATTTTCAGAATTTTTGTTTTGGTGATGCTGACTCACTAGTAACTATGGAAATACTAACATGGTGGGATTATAATCTCTTAAAGGGTTCTGTATTTAATTTGTTACAGTGAAAGAATGATTATATCCACGGTTACCCACAGACATAAACATTTCCATGGTTGCCCACAGACATAAACATATCCATGGTTACCCACAGACATAAACATAATTATGGTTACCCACAGACATAAACATATCCATGGTTACCCACACACAGACATATACATATCCATGGTTACCCACAGACATAAACATATCCACGGTTACCCACACACAGACATATACATATCCACGGTTACCCACACACAGACATATACATATCCATGGTTACCCACAGACATAAACTTATCCATGGTTACCCACAGACATAAACATATCCACGGTTACCCACACACAGACATAAACATATCATCCATGGTTGCCCACAGACATAAACATATCATCCATGGTTGCCCACAGACATAAACATATCATCCATGGTTGCCCACAGACAGACATAAACATATCCATGGTTGCCCACAGACAGACATAAACATATCCATGGTTACCCACAGACATAAACATATCATCCATGGTTGCCCACAGACATAAACATATCATCCATGGTTACCCACACACAGACATAAACATATCATCCACGGTTACCCACACACAGACATAAACATATCATCCACGGTTACCCACACACAGACATAAACATATCATCCACGGTTACCCACAGACATAAACATATCATCCACGGTTACCCACACACAGACATAAACATATCATCCACGGTTACCCACAGACATCAACATATCATCCACGGTTACCCACACACAGACATAAACATATCATCCACGGTTACCCACAGACATAAACATATCATCCATGGTTACCCACACACAGACATAAACATATCATCCATGGTTGCCCACAGACATAAACTTATCCACGGTTACCCACAGACATAAACATATCCATGGTTACCCACAGACATAAACATATCCACGGTTACCCACAGACATAAACATATCCATGGTTACCAACAGACATAAACATATCCATGGTTACCCACAGACATATACATATCCACGGTTACCCACAGACATAAACATATCCACGGTTACCCACAGACATAAACATATCCATGGTTACCCACAGACATAAACATATCCATGGTTACCAACAGACATAAACATATCCATGGTTACCCACAGACATAAACATATCCATGGTTACCCACAGACATAAACATATCCATGGTTACCCACAGACATACACTTTGCACTGGAAATCCCTGAATGTGTGGCCACTGGTGTCTAGTGAGTGCCCATAAATACATAACTGCTGTAGTTCTTGTGAGCATTCAATGACTGCAAACTTCAGGTTGTCATCTACGTGTGGACTTTTGTCTTGTTCCAGCACTTGTGAGTTTTATGTGCACATCTGTTTTACAGATGTGACATATTTATATACAAACTGATGGTTCACTGTCTCTCAGGTAGATGCACCCTGACTTGGAAGGAACACCCTAAATTAGTTGCCTTCTATGACATGCTTATCAGGGAAGCAGTGGATCTATTCCCTTCAATGAAGCCTCGGAAACTGCACGGAGTACAGGTAAACAGGAACTGTCAATGACATTATTGCATGAGTGTGCTCCCATAGGAAATGCTGCTAGGGACACGGAAATAATGTGAGATTTAAACAAACAGACGGAAGAGATAATTTAAGAATGGGTTAATAAGATGGAGAGGACTTGGAGTGACTTACACCCCTTACAGGAGGTTTCTTGCTTGCTGAGGACCTATGCCCCATTGGAGAATAAGAAGGTTAGAAGAAGGAAAACAGAAGCATACAGTAGAGGAGAGGAAGAAGAATTTAACACAAAAACAATTTTTTATAAACATCTCAAACTAACAGAGGAAAACAAAAGCTGTTCAAAACAAGAACACAAGATTAACAACTCAAACAAAAAAGGAAAACACAAAACACTGTCATACCTGCAGTCGTGCTGAAATGACCTTAGTCAGTGTCAGAACATCTCCATGAAAACCACAACATCCCAGAACTGTTTTACTGGACCTAGTAGATGAGATATCAACAGATCAATCACTCGGTGATCAACAAACATTGAGGACATATAAAATTAACAGCTACTGTCAACTGTTTGCTGAATGAATCCCCCAGCTGAAAGATAAAACCAAGTGGCCAAGTTGTCCAAGACCCTTCTAGCACACACATCCATCATCCACTTGTAACAGATCAATAAAACAGAAGCCAGAAGAAACTAAATACATTAACTAGAATACTACAGACCATGTAACAGCCATAATAACTAAAGCCAGTAAATGATACCAGGCTAAAACAATATGTCACATAGAGGTAAAATTGCTAGTAAAATCTAAATAGTCAATAAATGTTGGGACTGACAATGCAACATCCTGTAAATGATAAATAGCTAACAAGAAATCACCGCTTAGTTACAATCCAAACTAGACACCCACAACAGATACCATTGCTTAGTTACAATCCAAACTAGACACCCACAACAGATACCATTGCTGAGTTACAATCCAAACTAGACACCCACAACTGATACCATTGCTGAGTTACAATCCAAACTAGACACCCACAACAGATACCATTGCTGAGTTACAATCCAAACTAGACACCCACAACTGATACCATTGCTGAGTTACAATCCAAACTAGACACCCACAACTGATACCATTGCTGAGTTACAATCCAAACTAGACACCCACAACTGATACCATTGCTGAGTTACAATCCAAACTAGACACCCACAACTGATACCATTGCTGAGTTACAATCCAAACTAGACACCCACAACAGATACCATTGCTGAGTTACAATCCAAACTAGACACCAACAACAGATACCATTGCTGAGTTACAATCCAAACTAGACACCCACAACAGATACCATTGCTGAGTTACAATCCAAACTAGACACCCACAACAGATACCATTGCTGAGTTACAATCCAAACTAGACACCCACAACAGATACCATTGCTGAGTTACAATCCAAACTAGACACCCACAACAGATACCATTGCTGAGTTACAATCCAAACTAGACACCCACAACAGATACCATTGCTGAGTTACAATCCAAACTAGACACCCAACAACAGATAACCATTGCTGAGTTACAATCCAAACTAGACACCCACAACAGATACCATTGCTGAGTTACAATCCAAACTAGACACCCACAACAGATACCATTGCTGAGTTACAATCAAAAGTAGACACCAACAACAGACACCAAAAAGAAAATTTTTAACTGGCTATTTAAAACGAAATCTTGACAATAATCAGCTGCCATTGTGAAAACAGCCAGACAATATTATTTTACAAGACAACAAAGATATTTGTTTAAAACAAAATTCATCATTGTAATCAATGTAAAAGTTTAAATATCTGGGGAATAACAGTCACCAAAGATGACAAACCGGATGAAGAAACTAACATCTGATGTGGTAAAACAAATCAAACATTGCGACAGCTCATACAAAGCCGACTGATACCCACCCAACGCAAAGAGCTCCAGACATTTCATATACAACAAACCAGAACAGAAAATGTGTAGCCATGGAAATGAGGTGACTGAGACAGGCAGAAGGACTGATCAGACGAGATCAAATCAAGAAAAACAGTGATGAAATGCTCGGCAAAGAACCAATACTAAAGTACTAAAAGACAACAAATAAAAATGGTTTGCCCCCTAAAATACATTGTGACACCAGACAACTAATATACCACAACAAAAAAGAGGTGCAGCAAGAACAACATGGACAGAGAACATCAAAGAAAGAATCTATACAAAAGTACAATATTTCTATGGTCGAGGCAGCCAGAACAGCAAGAACATTATACCTCCCTTGTAAAATCAAGAATAATTTTTTTTTAAATCGTACAAGCAGGCCAACCTAGCATCTGGCACTTTCAAACTCCCAGTATCCTAAATGATACTGACTGGATCACCAACAGCATTATACTCTCAAGAATGTCCCTTCTCAGTGACCTCTCCAAATTCATAAAACAGATGCACCAGGTGAGAGAAACAAGCCTGCCACAGTCAGGTACTTACAGAGGATACGTCTTTGGGTTGTCATGAGAGTGGATAGAGAAACCCTGACTCAGTCTGGTGTCCGTAGCTATCAGAGCATAGTCCTCTCCAGCGATGGCCAAGATGGTGCTGTAAGACAGGGCAAAACAATTATTAGCATCTCTACAGATTTGTCAAATATGTGACATGTGACTAGCTCTTTCCAATAATACCCAATCATCACAAAATCCAACTGTTTTAGCTTTCCTATTTGTGACACTTTATCTGAGTTTACTAAACTAATCTGGACTCTGCAGTGTCCATGCCTTATACAATGTTTTACACTTCACTGAAATTAACTTCTTTTTCTCGTCTTTTAGTTAGCTCATCTACATGCTTGGGCGATTGTGGTGGTTGACGGGGATGTAAAGATTTTTCTGTTTCTTCTCCAAGGTTGATCTTTATTTCTGTGAGGCTGTTCTTGATGCTGTCATTCTATCATTTTTGTGGTCTTCCCAACACCATATCTTTAGAATGGCTCTCTGTGGTAGATGGCACCAGGGCATTCTTGTCAAACGACCAAACCATCTCACCTGCTCGTTAATGAACTGTATAAAACTGCTGAAATGAACACAACAAATTTTGAAGTGAAAACTACTGGAGTTTAAAGAGTTGTAGTAATCTTTGAAAAAGTTGTGAACGATTTTATGTGAACAATGTTTCAAGCACATGTAGAAACTGAAAAAACTTATATGCGCAGTTATTCAAGATTGATCAAGTGCTGGATTTATTTGTCAGCATTACTGTTATAACATGTGTGGTTTTTTTTTAAAATTGACTCTCTGAGTCCCAAGGATCGCATCATGTGCTAATCGGTTACTACCCAGCCGCCCATCAGTGCGTGATGTGTACATATATATTAATATTATTTCCACTGGCTAGTACAAAAAAATGCAAACTAGCAGTTTGAATGTTATTTGACCTGTTCTTTATGTTCAATATCACATGAGTTAAACACTAAGTTTAGTCAGAAATGTGGTTAAAAACATAAAATGTAGCATGCTTGTGATCTTTACTGAGATACTAAGTGTTTGTTTGAAAACAATATGTGAATATGGCTGCCGAGCAGACGACTTGAGGCATGTTAACAAGATTGAATAAATAATTTTTATTATTTATGGCTTTAGAAGCCCCCTTGGTCCTCTCATTCTAAACCCTTGAGACTAAAAACAGATAACTGAATAACTGAAGTAGTTTTCCTCTGGGCCCTTCAATTGTGCTGTGTGTCTGCAGTGACCCCATCTCAAAAGGCTGTTGTTATATTTAGTTATATTGTCTAGTCTTCCCTTCTTGAAGTTGAAGTTCTTCTAGTCTACCAGCCACTGAGTTCAAGTGAAATCTTCCACGTTTGGTCGTTAAGTCCGTTAAGCTTTTGAGTCACATTTTACTGGAATCCCTTGGTTTGCTTGACTTGACAGCAGTCGCCGCCCTATTGACACTATATAAATAATTGTTATTTTCTATTTTCTACCAGCCGCTGTAAACGCCAACCAATGCCTAGACTAGTTAATGAATCCATTACTTTATTCACATGTAATATACCTGACATGCTGGCGACCATATTATCACAGCACATATGAGCAAATATCGCCAGCCCACTGAAAGTGAAAGTGAACATGAACACTGAGCTGAACACGAAACAGTAGTAAACTGTAGTGTAGTGTAGTAGTAGTGTAGTACTGTAGTGTACAGCACAGCCAGAATCAGAAACAAAGCTAAAACACACTCACCCGCCATTGAAGTCGTAAGGATTGAAATGAAGCTGATTCGGTGCCTGGTAATCCTGTAAAGGTTGCTTCATGCTGTTATAAGACATCATGTCTGAGAAAGCCATTCTTGTGGAACAAATAGAGCGTCGGTTTAAGAGCACACAGACACAACCAGGCGATGATGACTTGCAAACAACGTCTCCAGCCGGCCGGAAGTCAATGAAAAACTATACACAGCAGTGACCAGCCACGGCTCAAATAATAAACATGATTTCTCATACGTCTGTCTACTGCTACTTCTTCTAATCCTCATCGTCGCTTCTTACCCCCCCCCCCCCCCCCCACACCCTCCCTCTCTCTCTATCTCTCTCTCTCTTTCTCTCGGTCTCTCTCTCTCTCTCTTAGGGAGCTACGATCATGCCAGAACAATTGGCGTACCTGGGGTATGGCGCTACTTTTAGGAGAAAAAAAAAGGGGGGGGGGTATGGTGAAGGGTGTCTTATCGGCAGGAACCACAATGAGCTTAATTTTGTTGAGTAATAGAAGGATGACAGCTTACAAAAATACGAACACTCACTCCTTATCAGCATCGCTTACATAATGTTGTGTGTGTGTGTGTGTGTGTGAGCAAGCGATGGCGAATGCAAATTACTGAATATTTCCCACATCTGGCTGCCATGGGCGCCAAAATACCCTAGATATGTTTCTGGAAACAACCGCATTCTCCAGCGCTGCTCAATAATAAACGTTTTTATTTTTGTTTTTAATTTCAAGATTTGTTTAACCGCTGGCAGTTGCCAGCATCTGCCACTCTTCTTTATTCGCCTCTTACGACATGCATGTTAGGTCAGTACATTCACTTTCCTGTCGTGCCCCATTAGCGCACAGTCAGACAATTCTAAAGTTTGCGTCCTCTGTGGCATCTGAACATTCCTGTATTCTTGTAAATATTGTCACAAGCTGTTGCCTCGAGATTATTCTACAGACACAACGGAACCTCTTCACGCCCTCAAGTCATGGTACTTCTTCTTCTCTTTCACCTTGTACCTCAGCGAAATGTCGGGGGGAGATGTAACGTTCGTTGACAAGCTCTGTCAAGAGCACTATTACGATTGATGTTCATTTATATAAGGCTGTTCTTAATGCCATCACCCATCATTTTCGAAGTCTTCCGCTTACTCTATACCCGTTGTAACGTTTCGGTGTGGCTCGTATGATGCTAAACAGTGTTATAAACCGATCGGTGGGGATTTTTTTAAATCTACAATAAATAAAAGGTGCAGGTACTCACCCCAACATTCTAAAACAAGAAGTTCTTTTCTTTTAGTTCACCCCCCCCCCCCCCCCCTCTAACGACTCTGAGACTTCGTAGGAATTTCCCGGGAAAGTCCAATAGTATGGGGTATCAGGATGTGAAATCAACAGAGACTAACATTAACCCTAAACCTAACCCCTCCTATACTTTTGCACTTTCCCATGAAGTATCGGAGTCCCTGAGATGGGGTAGAACTAAAAGAAAGTGACAATTAATACGGCGATGCTCACTACTGAATATCTATTGCAGTAGAACTGACGAAAGCTGAATCGTAAAAGGTCACGTTGTTACGTAATCCCAGAAGAAAAAAAGCCAAAACAAAACGGCACAGAAAAACGGCACAGAACTGGTCATACTGTGAATATTACATTAGCGTCTTGACTTCCCAGAGCCTTATCTGATACATATTTTAGGCTGGATAGACTTGGAACGTGGTCGAACTGTTAAGCCCGTTAGGATTTCACCCTGAGATCCAGGTATATTAAAATCACGGACTTTTTTTAAATGTCAGTGGGAGCTCAGGCTCCAAGACCCCCTGCCAGTAACTGAGAGAACTGTACGTCAAGGCTCGTGTCGAAAAAATAAAAAGGAAATCGGCATTGATGTAGATTTCAACTCTAGACATCCGAGTCGGCATGTAAGCGTCTAGCCACAAAATATACCGTGTATTTCTGCTATACTACTGCACGTAAATTTTTGCCTAGAGAAACCACACAACAACCAGGGGCTGCTAGGGTTGGTCCTGCAACGTCCTGTAAAGGATACGCAACTAACCGATTTCTGCTGTGCGAGTTACTCCTAACTTCCGGTAGGAGGGGTGGTATACACGGAATGAGCTTGTTTCTTGCTCTCAGTCTGCATATATAAGTTAACTTTCTTAGTACCGGATTATTTGGTTTCAAATACTTAGGGAGATAGTAGACACAATTAAAATAGCATTACTTTCAATGGGACGGCGAATGCTGGACTGTATGTAAGCATATTTAGCATGCTCAAACCAAATAAGATATATATCATTATTCATCGTTCGTTGTTTGGTACCACACACTGTACGTTGATTGTGATAAAAGAGTTGAGCTTTAAGACGTTAGCTGCGGGCGATGTAACGTCTATGGGTATGCCCGCAGAGGCACCGGCACATGGGGGTTAAGGTCCATTAAGGCTACCAAGGCATGTCCCCCACCCACCCTCCCACATTAATGTTTTCATGGAAGTAAGAGGCTCTCATTCCCTATGTGTAGAATTTTTTTTTTTTAATTGTTTGTTTCATATTATTTCAGATATATTAGTATATCTATTTGCAAAGAAGAAGAAAAAGAAGAAGAAGACACCGCTGGAGGACCCATCACTACCCATATGCAATAATCTACCTACAGAATGTGAAAGGCAGCAAGAAATGCATAGGTAGGAGGGGCACTGGCGTACTGCCCCCATATTCTCCTAATTTATGGGGGGGGGGGGGGGGGGCCCTAAGGGCGTCTGAGTTCCCATCCATCCAGTTTTATTCGTAGATGGGTGGTTGCTGGGCAACCGATGCTGCCTGTTCTTTGTTGTCATGAAAACACATTAGTTTTGATGGCTTTCGTTGGCAAATATAACTTATAGAAAATATAGAAACACACAAAAAATGGATTCTGAAATTAAGTTGTACATTTTATTAACATATACAAGTTGTCAACTGATACAAAAAGGCGCTAGCTGCATTCAACATTAGGACCCAAAGGAATCTGCAATTGTCGAATACTCTACATTGAGTTCAAATTTGTGATTTTTCGATAAACACGCACAAGTTCAAAAAAAGTTTGGAAGTATTTAGTGCGAAACTATTAATATATGAGGTTTAAGAAACAACTGGAGAGAACAGGTACAACAAATATATAAATCATACAAGTAACTGATCTTTCACTGCGGATTTACGATACGGGAAGGCATTTTTTTCTTCAAACCCACATAGTCATATATGTGAGGACGGAATAGTGCAGCTGGTTCATGGACAGCAAACTTCTGTAAACATTTATGCACACGTAATTACAACCCAAAACTGTTTTTATCTTGATGATTGTAAATATTAAAAATGTATTCTCACCCCCAACCACCTTTTCAATTTTCCCAATAAATAATAGAAGCACATAAATAAAAGAAACATTTTATCTGTAGAAGTATGGCTATATGATGTTAACAGAAAGAATTGAAAGTACGTTCAAGAAACTTGGCAGCGGCGGGCTTTATAATTTCTTGACTTTGTTTATTCGTGTATGCTTAAAATAATATTTGTACCAGTGGAGCATGTATGGAAAAGTAAACAGATCCAGAAGCAAATTACCACACCACTAAAACATCCACGAATGTATTATGGCATATTATATAACAACATATACATGTCACAAACAAGCCTACTTAATACAAGCGCATCAGGTAACAACTTGCAGCTAAACGCTAAAGACACAACAACCATAGACTGTACTTAAAACATTCTCGCAGCCACGGCACGCAAAAAACCATTCACAATATTACCATAGAGTAAAATTTTACATTTTCATCAGTTCAAATAACATTGTTTTTTTCCGCTGGTTTTTGTTTTCCTTCCGAGTCCAGTTGTTAAATGTATCAAGATGACAAAAGTTATTTTTCAAGATTTGCTTCTTATAATAGGACTATTTTTAAAACCTAGAATGCGGTGTTTAACTGGCACATCCGTTTGTATTTTCAACTTGCCAAATGGCACGAATTACCGCCAGTTTTCCCCGTTCTACAAAATGACTAGTTTGGTAGTTATTTCCTGTTTCACCGGTTGTACACTTGTACAATGAATAATATGCTTAAATTTTCATCTGGTTGTCTTCATCCGTGCTTCAAAAACCCATAGTGCAAGAGCAATGGGGCTGAAAGGAAATCCCGGACATGCCTGATGCAGTCTCGCCCCTGACTGACTAGACTTCGGTTAAAAGCTGTCTCTAGCTTTCAGAACATTCCTTAGTGTCCCGCTGGAGACAGAAGAAGAAGCAACAGATTAAAATTAAAACAGTATATGGTGTGTACAACAGCACTACACGTGGATGCTATAGTGCTCCCTTTCCTAACTCCACAACCAGGAATTTGTCAGGGGTAAGCAATCGTCTCAAACTATACATACATTCTCTTTTGAAATATTTATTTATTATAGTTTTATTATAGTATACATTTACTATTATGCCAAGTACATCATCATCATCATCACCACCACCATTATCATCATCATCATCATCATCATCACCATAGGCAGCGGAACCTCCCCAATACATTTGTAGGAAGGAGCCCTCTTTTTTTTTTATTTTATTTTTTTTTTTTTACGTATCCAAAAACCATGAGTTGTAAACCCTTTGGCTCGGTACTATGGATATCGCAACCCTTCGGCATTGATTCCATTATAGGTACCGTTAATCTGGGAGAAATGTGGCTTTTCTGCCTACCCCCGGGAGTGAACCCGGACCACAAGGAGTTCGTCACCCGGCCGCCGCGAAAGTCAGGTTTAACCAACTTCGCTAGAGAGCCGAGATCCCATTATCCACTGTACACAGGCGTTCTCTTTTTAAGCATGTCTTTATGTTTTTCATATAATTTCTAATACTATTTTAACAACCTTCGAACGGCACAGCGACAGTACGATGACGCAATCTGTTGTATCTTGACATTACTGTAACTACTGACCTTATGGGACGTAATCCAGTCTTTATGTAAGTTCACATAATGTAAGGAGTGGGAATTACCGTGTACAGATGAACGAATGGAAGAAGAATCCCATGGGATGTGAATAACGGGTTGGAGGTAAGAAAGTAGGAATAGTTAGGTGCTGTTTAACAGTACGAGAGACAGGTCGATTGAGTGATAGGAAGGACTGATATGAACTGTGATTGCTGACGGCGGGTACCCGGATCGCAAGAAAGATGACTAAACCAATGTGACCCTGAATTGTAATGTCGAACAACTGGGAATTTTTATGGCGCTGTGTTTTAGATGCGAGAGACCAGTTGGAATGGATCACCTAAAGTGAAAGATAAAAGACAGCATGTTCAGGCTGTGTTCTTCGTGTGACACATTTGTTGGAACAGCAATAAACGTCAGCATATTAACGTCAGAGCAGTGTAGTCGAAATCTGTGTTCCTACCACGGCCGACTGTATTTATTCTGGAGAAGGCGGTGGTTCCTACTAACCTCCACCGGTCCCAGCTGTAGATAGAGTCAGCCGTGTACAACCTAACACCTGAACAGAGGGGAGACCAGTAGGTCAAGACAGAAGCAAAGAGTAACATCGTCATCCCGGACGAGCATCCATCTTGCAACGATACTCTGTGCTTCAGCAGCAGGCCGTCTTGCGTTGGTGTCGACAGTGGTATCGCGAGGTGACCGTTCTGGAGCAGTGGCAAACTGCTGAATGTAAATTTATATAGAGAAACCACAACAGCCAATATAATAAATTTGGAGTGGGTTCTGCTACATGCTGTAAAGGATACGCAACCAAGCAAAAACAACAATAGAATGTCAGATCCATTTTACAATGCAGGTGCTAGAAAAGAGAAAAACGAAAGTGCCTAAGGTGCCACCTTCAGCTGCACTTTAAGGCGACGTGGCGTGGGTGGGGGTGACGTGGCGTGAGTGGGGTGACGTGGCGTGGGTGAGGGCGACGTGGCGTGGGTGAGAGTGGCGTGTGCATTTTAAAGAGTAAATAAATGCCTTTTAAAGAGTGGAATGTGAAAAGGGGAAACAACCTGTGTCAGGTATATGGTGCCTACTTTTTAATAGAAATAAAATTATGGGTTTTTTCTTCCAGTTTACTTGGGTATATGGTGCTATGTTTTATTTATATATTTTAAAAAGAAACAAAAATTGATGTTCCGGGCTTCTGCTAATAGTTGGTGTCTTATTTTCTTTGTTGCTAGTGTCCGTACTCCCAGTTTATGTTGTTGTCTGGCGCCTCTATTATCACCAGCATGTGGTGTGGGTGAGCTTCTGTACAACCACTCCTGTTATCACCAGCATGTGGTGTGGGTGAGCTTCTACACAACTGCCCCTGTTATCACCAGCATGTGGTGTGGGTGAGCTTCTATACAACCACTCCTGTGATCACCAGCATGTGGTGTATGTGAGCCTCTATACAACCACTCCTGTTATCACCAGCATGTGGTGTGGGTGAGCTTCTATACAACCACTCCTGTTATCACCAGCATGTGGTGTATGCGAGCCTCTATACAACCACTCCTGTTATCACCAGCATGTGGTGTGGGTGAGCTTCTATACAACCACTCCTGTTATCACCAGCATGTGGTGTGGGTGAGCTTCTATACAACCACTCCTGTTATCACCAGCATGTGGTGTGGGTGAGCTTCTATACAACCACTCCTGTTATCACCAGCATGTGGTGTGGGTGAGCTTCTATACAACCACTCCTGTTACCACCAGCATGTGGTGTGGGTGAGCTTCTATACAACCACTCCTGTTATCACCAGCATGTGGTGTATGTGAGCCTCTATACAACCACTCCTGTTATCACCAGCATGAGGTGTGGGTGAGCTTCTATACAACCACTCCTGTTATCACCAGCATGTGGTGTGGGTGAGCTTCTATACAACTGCCCCTGTTATCACCAGCATGTGGTGTATGTGAGCCTCTATACAACCACTCCTGTTATCACCAGCATGTGGTGTGGGTGAGCTTCTATACAACCACTCCTGTTATCACCAGCATGTGGTGTATGTGAGCCTCTATACAACCACTCCTGTTATCACCAGCATGAGGTGTGGGTGAGCTTCTATACAACCACTCCTGTTATCACCAGCATGTGGTGTGGGTGAGCTTCTATACAACTGCCCCTGTTATCACCAGCATGTGGTGTATGTGAGCCTCTATACAACCACTCCTGTTACCACCAGCATGTGGTGTGGGTGAGCTTCTATACAACCACTCCTGTTATCACCAGCATGTGGTGTGGGTGAGCTTCTATACAACCACTCCTGTTATCACCAGCATGTGGTGTATGTGAGCCTCTATACAACCACTCCTGTTACCACCAGCATGTGGTGTATGCGAGCCTCTATACAACCACTCCTGTTATTATCATGGGCTATGAAGAGTGCTAGAGGTTCCGGGTTCAATTCCCGTTAAGGACTGGGATTTTTTCTCGTGGACTTGGACTTCTATTTATGATTTTCCTTGGTCTCTGGGTAGTGAGATCGGACGCCCGTGTGCATTGTTGCGCACGTAAAAAATCCCTTGGCAGTTGGAATCGGAAAAATGTAGCCTAACGGCTCTGTTCGGGCAAAAAATTTACCCGAGTTAAAGATTTAGCCGAAGTATTTCAGGATCCTCGCTTGTGCTACAAAATCTGTGCGCTGTGCTGAGCTTCTTCGGACTCTGACGAGTTAGAAGAAGAACGGAGCACTTATGGGTTTACTACCCGTATGCCATGATGTTGATCCGTTGTTCAAAACCTCAAACCTCATCATGGGCTATAGGCACGTCTGTGGTCTCCTTGTGTGTTAGACCTAAGCTTCAGAGACAGGAGTGGGTGACATTGATTTAAAAATTAATCTGACTGAAAATATTGTTTAGTTGTGAATGTTTGCGTCTGTCAGTGTGTCCATTACCTTCCGTGATCTCAGTAATTCTTGCCTTCTATGCGAGGGGTGGGGGGTGTTCTTACCATCAGGCGTTCTTTTGTGAGGTTCCAGTCTCGACAGCAGGAGCGAGCACCACCACAGGACGTGGATCTCCTTCTGTTCTTGGCAGCTCCAGGCATGCAGGACAAGCTGTTGGTTCCTCCCATGGGCAGACAGCACTCCGGTCCTGGGCCTAGGTCCCTGGTACATCGGTCTCCACTGCACAACCTGAGTTTCAAGCGCATGATTTCTGAATCCTACAAGAGGAGACATGTCACACAGGAGTTTACACGCCAACATGACAGACTTCATTGCAGTTGGTTTGATTCTCTCTCTCTCTCTCTCTCTCTCTCTCTCTCTCTCTCTCTCTCTCTCTCTCTCTCTCTCTCTCTCTCTCTCTCTCCTCTCCCTTCCCTTCATGTATTTATCCCCCCCCCTACCTGAATCCCCTCCCTCCCTGTCTTTATCCCCCTCTCTCTCTCTCCCTGTGAGTGTGTTTGTCTCTAAGTATGTCCCTTTCTCTCTGTGCACGATTCTCTAGGAGCTTTGCATAATGCACACAACTCTAGACTTTTAGCGACAAACTTCACGGATATCAAAACACCTGCATTAGCCAACAGAATGACAGATTCCTAAATCTAACACACGAAATCACAGAGACTGGAGCAAATGATCGAACCATTTCATGAGGGATACCTCCTAGGTCCATATGTCCTCTGTGACTCTGTCGTGTAGTGGGTCAAACTATTTCACTTCCTTCCTACACATCTAGTCGACAGTCTTAAAAAAACACTATGCAACAGTCAGTATAAGGCCCTTTTCATCCGCATAAAGTTTATTCTCAAATGGTGTGTTCAAATTAGATTTCCATCTGTTCTGCACGTGACTGCACACTTTTCAATTTCTTCTTCTTCTCTTCCACCATTTACCTTAGCGAGGTGTTGGAGTGAGATGTAAGTATTGTTTGTGCACTTTTTCCAATGCAGTGTAGAAGCTGGTGTTCATTTCTGTTAGGTTGCTTCTGATAGTGTCGCTCCAACTCTTGCATGGTCGTCCCCTTGCTCTGTGTTCATTATATGTCTTCAGTGTGGCTCTCTGTGGCGGTTGGTACCAGGGCATTCTCGTCAGGTGACCAAACCATCTCATTTGTTGTTCTTTAATGAATTGTTTGACTGGTTTCTGCCCTAGTCTTCTTCTAATTTCTTCATTCCTGATTTTATCTCTTTTTGTCACACCGGGAGCTTTCATAAGACATCTCATCTCTGTTGTTATATTTGTAAACAATTGCCTAATAGTCAGTTGGTCAATTTTGCACGAAAGCTCTATGTTGGTCTGACAAGGGACATGCTCAACTGCGTTAGGCTCGGCGAGGAAGTATACTAGCAGCAGAACCATGCACTTACTGTGACTATGGCAATCCAAATGGCTACGAGAATATCTACAGGCCTAATGTTGACTATAGCACCCACCCAGTGCTCATCTATGTGTAGAAATATCCCCGTGTGGGCTCCGGGACCCAGTGTGCAGAGAAGGGTGGGCTCCGGGACCCAGTGTGCAGAGAACAGTGGGCTCCGGGACCCAGTGTGAGGTGAAGGGTGGGCTCCGCGACCCAGTGTGCAGTGAAAGGTGGGCTCCGCGACCCAGTGTGCAGTGAAGGGTGGGCTCCGCGACTCAGTGGGCAGAGAAGGGTGGGCTCCGGGACCCACTGTGCAGAGAAGGGTGGGCTCCGGGACACAGTGTGCAGAGAAGGGTGGGCTCCGGGACCCAGTGTGCAGAGAAGGGAGGGCAATAAATAAATCTAAGGCGACTAATTCAAGGTTTGCTCGAATCCGATGTGTTGGGGCGAGAGGCGCAGATATCGCAGCTTAGCTATAAACGACAAGGCACCAACAGCCATGTAAAGGGGAGAGCGCAGAGGAGTGACCAGAAGAATAAACAGTCTATGATAAATATGAGTCGAGCAACATGTACCCTGGACGCGCCACAGGCATTAACAAATGTCTTTCAACTGAGCAACTGCCGGCGATACACAAGAATCAAGAGCTTACCCTGAGGGTGATGCAATCTTTGGTGGCCTGTAGCTGATCATCCTTGTCCGCGATCTTGGCCTGGAGGTTTTGGTTCTCCCGACAGAGAGCGTCCACTTTCTGGAAGTAGCACTTCTCTAGCTGGGTCAGCTGTCTCTGCCCGGCCGAGACTTTCTGGGCCAGAGCAGCGTTGGTCTCTTCTGCCTCCATCTGGCTGGCTCTCATCTGTTCTACCTGAATAAAACACTTGTGTTGAAGGATTAGAAATTTTCGGAAAGAGTGGTAGGACGATTAACATCGATTCTTTTTCTAATGAAGCCTTTTTTTTTTTTTTAATTGCTTTGTCAAAGAAAACCGTTTATGATATGTGAGTTTGATAACTGTATCTTCATTTTTTTTAAAATTGCACACACATTTCCTCCATCACTGGATGGTTGAAGCATACAAGTTCCTCCATCACTGGATGGTTGAAGCATACAAGTTCCTTCATCACTGGATGGTTGAAGCATACAAGTTCCTCCAACACTGGATGGTTGAAGCATACAAGTTCCTCCAACAACAGATAGTTGAAACATACAAGTTCCTCCATCACTGGATGGTTGAGACATACAAGTTCCTCCAATACTGGATGGTTGAGACATACAAGTTCCTCCATCACTGGATGGTTGAGACATACAAGTTCCTCCATCACTGGATAGTTGAGACATACAAGTTCCTCCAACACTGGATGGTTGAGACATACAAGTTCCTCGATCACTGGATGGTTGAGACATACAAGTTCCTCCAACACTGGATGGTTGAAGCATACAAGTTCCTCCAACACTGGATGGTTGAAGCATACAAGTTCCTTCAACACTGGATGGTTGAAGCATACAAGTTCCTCCAACACTGGATGGTTGAGACATACAAGTTCCTCCATCACTGGATAGTTGAGACATACAAGTTCCTCCAACAACAGATGGTTGAGACATACAAGTTCCTCCATCACTGGATAGTTGAGACATACAAGTTCCTCCATCACTGGATGGTTGAGACATACAGGTTCCTCCAACAATAGATGGTTGAGACATACAGGTTCCTCATACAACAGATGGTTGAGATATACAGGTTCCTCATACAACAGATGGTTGAGATATACAGGTTCCTCCAACAATAGATGGATGAGACATACAGGTTCCTCATACAACAGATGGTTGAGATATACAGGTTCCTCCAACAATAGATGGTTGAGACATACAGGTTCCTCATACAACAGATGGTTGAGATATACAGGTTCCTCATACAAAAGATGGTTGAGACATACAGGTTCCTCATACAACAGATGGTTGAGATATACAGGTTCCTCCAACAATAGATGGTTGAGACATACAGGTTCCTCATACAACAGATGGTTGAGATATACAGGTTCCTCCAACAATAGATGGTTGAGATATACAGGTTCCTCCAACAATAGATGGTTGAGATATACAGGTTCCTCCAAAAATCGATGGTTGATACATACAGGTTCCTCCAACAATAGATGGTTGAGATATACAGGTTCCTCCAACAATAGATGGTTGATACATACAGGTTCCTCCAACAATAGATGGTTGATACATACAGGTTCCTCCAGCAATAGATGGTTGAGATATACAGGTTCCTCCAACAATAGATAGTTGAGACATACAGGTTCCTCCAGCAATAGATGGTTGAGATATACAGGTTCCTCCAACAATAGATAGTTGAGATATACAGGTTCCTCACTCACTAGATGGTTGAGACATACAGGTTCCTCCAACAATAGATGGTTGATACATACAATTTCCTCCAACAATAGATGGTTGAAACATACAGGGTCCCATCACCGGATGCTTGAGACTTACAGGTTCCTCATTCACTAGATGGTTGAGACATGCAGGTTCCTCACTCACTGGATGGTTGAGACATACAGGTTCCTCACTCACTAGATGGTTGAGACATACAGGTTCCTCACTCACTAGATGGTTGAGACATACAGGTTCCTCACTCACTAGATGGTTGAGACATACAGGTTCCTCACTCACTAGATGGTTGAGACATTCAGAGTCTTCTGCCATCACACAGCCAGGACATGGGAGACAAGACAACATGAATCGCCATCACACAGCCAGGACATGGGAGACAAGACAACATGAATCGCCATCACACAGCCAGGACATGGGAGACAAGACAACATGAATGGCCATCACACAACTGGGACATGGGAGACAAGACAACATGAATCGCCATCACACAACTAGGACATGGGAGACAAGACAACATGAATCGCCATCACACAGCTAGAACATGGGAGACAAGACAACATGAATCGCCATCACACAGCCAGGACATGGGAGACAAGACAACATGAATCGCCATCACACAACTGGGACATGGGAGACAAGACAGCATGAATCGCCATCACACAGCTAGAACATGGGAGACAAGACAACATGAATGGCCATCACACAGCCAGAACATGGGAGACAAGCCAACATGAATGGCCATCACACAGCCAGAACATGGGAGACAAGACAACATGAATCGCCATCACACAACTGGGACATGGGAGACAAGACAGCATGAATCGCCATCACACAACTGGGACATGGGAGACAAGACAACATGAATGGCCATCACACAGCTAGAACATGGGAGACAAGACAACATGAATCGCCATCACACAACTGGGACATGGGAGACAAGACAGCATGAATCGCCATCACACAACTGGGACATGGGAGACAAGACAACATGAATGGCCATCACACAGCCAGGACATGGGAGACAAGACAACATGAATCGCCATCATACAGCCAGGACATGGGAGACAAGACAGCATGAATCGCCATCACACAACTGGGACATGGGAGACAAGACAACATGAATGGCCATCACACAGCTAGAACATGGGAGACAAGACAACATGAATCGCCATCACACAACTGGGACATGGGAGACAAGACAGCATGAATCGCCATCACACAACTGGGACATGGGAGACAAGACAACATGAATGGCCATCACACAGCCAGGACATGGGAGACAAGACAACATGAATCGCCATCACACAGCCAGGACATGGGAGACAAGACAACATGAATCGCCATCACACAGCCAGGACATGGGAGACAAGACAACATGAATCGCCATCACACAGCTAGGACATGGGAGACAAGACAACATGAATCGCCATCACACAGCTAGAACATGGGAGACAAGACAACATGAATGGCCACCACACAGCCAGGACATGGGAGACAAGACAACATGAATCGCCATCACACAGCCAGGACATGGGAGACAAGACAACATGAATCGCCATCATACAGCTAGAACATGGGAGACAAGACAACATGAATCGCCATCACACAGCCAGGACATGGGAGACAAGACAACATGAATCGCCATCATACAGCTAGAACATGGGAGACAAGACAACATGAATCGCCATCATACAGCTAGAACATGGGAGACAAGACAACATGAATCGCCATCACACAGCCAGGACATGGGAGACAAGACAACATGAATCGCCATCATACAGCTAGAACATGGGAGACAAGACAACATGAATCGCCATCACACAGCCAGGACATGGGAGACAAGACAACATGAATCGCCATCATACAGCTAGAACATGGGAGACAAGACAACATGAATCGCCATCACACAGCCAGGACATGGGAGACAAGACAACATGAATCGCCATCACACAGCTAGAACATGGGAGACAAGACAACATGAATCGCCATCACACAGCCAGGACATGGGAGACAAGACAACATGAATCGCCATCACACAGCCAGGACATGGGAGACAAGACAACATGAATCGCCATCATACAGCTAGAACATGGGAGACAAGACAACATGAATCGCCATCACACAGCCAGGACATGGGAGACAAGACAACATGAATCGCCATCACACAGCTAGAACATGGGAGACAAGACAACATGAATCGCCATCACACAGCCAGGACATGGGAGACAAGACAACATGAATCGCCATCACACAGCTAGGACATGGGAGACAAGACAACATGAATCGCCATCACACAGCCAGGACATGGGAGACAAGACAACATGAATCGCCATCATACAGCCAGGACATGGGAGACAAGACAACATGAATCGCCATCATACAGCCAGGACATGGGAGACAAGACAACATGAATCGCCATCACACAGCCAGGACATGGGAGACAAGACAGCATGAATCGCCATCACACAACTGGGACATGGGAGACAAGACAGCATGAATCGCCATCACACAACTGGGACATGGGAGACAAGACAGCATGAATCGCCATCACACAACTGGGACATGGGAGACAAGACAACATGAATGGCCATCACACAGCCAGAACATGGGAGACAAGACAACATGAATCGCCATCATACAGCCAGGACATGGGAGACAAGACAACATGAATCGCCATCACACAACTGGGACATGGGAGACAAGACAGCATGAATCGCCATCACACAACTGGGACATGGGAGACAAGACAACATGAATGGCCATCACACAGCTAGTACATGGGAGACAAGACAACATGAATGGCCATCACACAACTGGGACATGGGAGACAAGACAACATGAATGGCCATCACACAGCTAGAACATGGGAGACAAGACAACATGAATCGCCATCACACAGCCAGGACATGGGAGACAAGACAACATGAATCGCCATCACACAGCCAGAACATGGGAGACAAGACAACATGAATGGCCATCACACAGCCAGGACATGGGAGACAAGACAACATGAATGGCCATCACACAGCTAGAACATGGGAGACAAGACAACATGAATGGCCATCACACAGCTAGAACATGGGAGACAAGACAACATGAATGGCCATCACACAGCCAGAACATGGGAGACAAGACAACATGAATGGCCATCACACAGCTAGAACATGGGAGACAAGACAACATGAATGGCCATCACACAGCCAGGACATGGGAGACAAGACAACATGAATGGCCATCACACAGCTAGAACATGGGAGACAAGACAACATGAATGGCCATCACACAGCTAGAACATGGGAGACAAGACAACATGAATGGCCATCACACAGCTAGAACATGGGAGACAAGACAACATGAATGGCCATCACACAGCCAGGACATGGGAGACAAGACAACATGAATGGCCATCACACAACTGGGACATGGGAGACAAGACAACATGAATGGCCATCACACAGCTAGAACATGGGAGACAAGACAACATGAATGGCCATCACACAGCCAGGACATGGGAGACAAGACAACATGAATCGCCATCACACAGCTAGAACATGGGAGACAAGACAACATGAATCGCCATCATACAGCCAGGACATGGGAGACAAGACAACATGAATCGCCATCACACAGCTAGAACATGGGAGACAAGACAACATGAATGGCCATCACACAGCCAGGACATGGGAGACAAGACAACATGAATCGCCATCACACAGCCAGAACATGGGAGACAAGACAACATGAATGGCCATCACACAACTGGGACATGGGAGACAAGACAACATGAATGGCCATCACACAGCTAGAACATGGGAGACAAGACAACATGAATGGCCATCACACAACTGGGACATGGGAGACAAGACAACATGAATGGCCATCACACAGCCAGGACATGGGAGACAAGACAACATGAATGGCCATCACACAGCCAGGACATGGGAGACAAGACAACATGAATCGTCATCACACAGCCAGGACATGGGAGACAAGACAACATGAATGGCCATCACACAGCCAGGACATGGGAGACAAGACAACATGAATGGCCATCACACAGCCAGGACATGGGAGACAAGACAACATGAATAGCTATCACACAGCCAGGACATGGGAGACAAGACAACATGAATGGCCATCACACAGCTAGAACATGGGAGACAAGACAACATGAATAGCTATCACACAGCTAGAACATGGGAGACAAGACAACATGAATCACTAGCAGCAAACGTCTCACCTCCTTCTCCAGCCTGAACCTGACGTCAGAGATCTGTTGCGTCAGCTGCGTGGTCTCCGTCTCCAGGCGGCACTGCAAGCTGGTGACCTTGCTGGAGAGACAGTTCTTCTCCTCCGTCAGTCGGTAGATGGCTCCCTCCTTGTCCTGTACCGACAACATCAATCTGTTACTAACACACAGATTAAACTCCACCCGTTGTTTTCATTAGTTCAAAACAAGAAAACTAATCCCTCATGAAAGAACGCATAGTAAATTATATATGTTCTGTAATTAGCTATACATTTCAGGAGCATTGACACGAAGAAAACATGGTCGTGTGCGCAGTCTCTACTATAATTTTATGGGTTGGGGGAGGGAGGCCTCATGGTACCTTACTCCCCATCTTAGGGCAACTATGACACATTTATGTTACTTTTCCAACTTAAAAAAAAAACCATGATAAAATTATTTCGGCGCTCCTTTGAATCATTCCCCAAAATGGCGGCATGCCACATTCTGGCCATAAAATATCCAAAAATATCCGAACGACGGTGTTCGCGTATATCTAAAATACGGACTTTCTGCCAAGGAACAAATCGCGGCAAAACTAGGATTACTTGACAATCAATATCAACATTTGCACACGGTACTAGTAGCAGATGATAAATACAGACCGTTGACAACAATTTCGAGCGTTTGTGCAGACGTTACTAGCAGACGATATTAGCGACTGTTGACCAATTTCGAGACATTACAGACGATGAAAGCCGATTAGCAATACTGTGTTCTTCCGATTGGAGGATTTAGCAGCGGTAGATGTCAGACTTGTTGGCATCCTCCAAACGCGATTAAACTCATCGCCGAGCGAATCCCCCGCGCCGCTACGCGCGAATGAGGGCTTAACTAGGTGCCTGGGACTCATTAGTACAGTAACTGGAGGACGTTGCAGGAGATGCGGTAGCTGCCGCTCGTGAGTCCCAGCCATCTAGTTTAGTCCCCATCCGCACCGCTACGCAGAAGCAGGCCGGCAAGCAACGTATCGCCGTGACCCTGTCAGAGCATTTGTTTCGTAATCCGGAGCCGGCACATATATTTTTAACAGAACTGACCCGCGTTCGGATATTTTATGGCCAGAAATTAGCCAATTAGGCTCTCTTTCGAACGCCATCATATTAAAGCCGCCATTTTGGGGAACGATTCAAAGGAGAGTCATTATTTCTATTAACAATGTATACTGTAAACATTTAAAAAAAAAAAAAAAATATTTTGCAGCTCAGCCATTATACAGGTCCCCCCTCCCTCCCAACCCCACTAAAAATAAAATTTTATGACGTAAAATTTCTCTTCAGGTATGTTTTGCATGTCCAGAAATGGAAACAGAAATTGTTACTAATAATACAGTGTCAACATCATTAGCTCTAACCATACCACTCTATTCGGTGTAATTTCTGTTAAATAGAAGTTCTTTAATGCATAATCAGTAATCAATGAAATAAATAGCGAGTGAGTGGCGTTGAACCCTAACAGGACCGTGTTGGACTAACACTCGGTGACACAAGATGACACAGTTCCGATGAGAATCCGCCGGGCAGAAGTCCCAGATATCCCGTTCAACCGTTAGGTTCTATTATGGCGCCTAACGATAGCCGGGTGTGGCTGTTAGATAACAAAAGATTGCGTCCGTACTGGGACCGTTGAAATAACTGAATTAAAGAGTACATGTTAATTGTCGCGAGACGCCGCTTCAAGTAGACAAGATACTTTTGGCTGACGTACCACCCCTTTGTGACCCTTCTATTTTTCCCTCTTACATGCGCCCAGTGACTTCATTTTCGTCATAAGACGCATTGAGAGATATCCCGGTTATAGCCTACGGTTGCTGTTTGGGGATTTTCCATTGTCTTATTTGTAATTCCCCTGAGCTTTCACGTATAAAAATATACGGCTAGTAACTCGGCAACGTAGCGGAAAAATCCTGGCCAAACACCGGATCCCGCTGTGAGAGCAGACGGCCAGCCATTTTACTTCAGGTCAGCAAGCAGGTGTTAGAGCGGGCCGTTTTGGCAGAACTTTGTCTTTCTCGCCGCCTAAAAACCCTAGCAACATGACCATATAGTTACATCTAAATCCAGGTGAGCACAGTAACTGTTAATTAAATCGTGATTTCAGTTTTCGGGCCGCATTTCGTGTACAATATTAGAATTGTACCAGACAGAGGAAAAAAACCACGCTGACCCATTTCTGCACATGGAC